TGCCCAGGTGGAGCCGCTGCCCAGGTGGGGCCGGGATGCCCAGGTGGAGCCGCTGCCCAGGTGGAGCCGCTGCCCAGGTGGGCCGTGCCCCGCCCTCAGCTCCGGCTACGGGGCCGCGCTCGGGCAGTGGCGGCCCAGCGGCGCTTCGGTGCCCGGGCGCGTTCGAACACTCGGGTCATCCCCGAGAGCCAAACAAGGCGCTCTCTCCGGCTTCCCGGGCCGATCCGGCCGTTTTCCCAGATTTTTCCATCCCGGTGTTTGCGTCCGCTGTTTGCGGCCTCGGGTGAATCGGCGGCACGGGGAAAGGCATAGCCGTGTCCTTCCCATCCAGCTGCGGTCTCCCCACGGGGTCCCTTCGGGCCGGGCTGGCAGGACCACTTTGTACTCGGTTTAAGAAGGGGAGAAATTAATATAATCTTTGTTTCTCCTCATCATTCACCTACTAGCGGTTAAACTCCCCTCCCCAAAAATTTAACACACACCTTTTATGCTTCTTTTGCTTCCCCATTACTGGCTTTGCTGTTTCCGGACCGTGTTAGGACACAGCGGTGCATGGGAAGCGCACACAGTTCCAGAGCTTGTGGCTTTGGGGCAGCTCCTGCTCAAAACGGGGCCAGAACTGGTGTTATATGCCAAACACCTTATTGACCCATCTTCACTGCCAATTTATCAAAATTTAAATTTAAGATATATTTAATCCTTCCAGTTTTCATTCTTACTCCTTTTGTTTTCTTCTTTTGGCCAAGCAATTATATTACCTTTATATTCTTCACCTGAAAGTACCATAATCAATATAAGAGGAAGGAGGAGGACAGCATTTACTTTGGTACTCCTGATGTGTCTCCTAGTAAATCACTGTTTCCTAAGAGGCAACTATTCTGTACTCTGGGCAACAATTCTTCCATCTACACATCCAAGTGGTATACTCGTGTTTGGGTTCACACACCTCAATAAAAATTCAGCTACACAGATTTTGGGATTCCGGTGCATATAGTAATAATTATTCCTAATGTTGCTTTATCAATGAAATACTTAATTTTCATTGCTTATAACTCTGCTAAATTTTGAAAGTGCCAAATGATGTTTTCATTTCAGCTGTTTTTCCCACTAATCCTACATCAAGGGGCTCCACTTATTATTCTACCTGTCTAAAGATTAAATTGCACAGTTTTGGTCACATTACAGAAGAAAAAACCCACCTTTCTTACTGTAGCTGTCCCTTCTAATTTTCAGGGGCTCCTTTGGCAACAAAATCAAAAGAAGACAGAATCTCCTGTAACAGTAATTAATCTTTAGCTTATTGGTGTCTGATGAACACCTGGGAAAAAACAGCTGGTCTCAGTGCAAGATATACAGACTTAGTGATGAGGAAAAGGAAACACAGAGGATGAATTTCCAGGACTGGGAAATAGGACAGCAGAGAATGTATGTGAGGCATGAAAAGGTGGAGGATTATGGCCAGAAACTGGAGAAAGGGCTGTGAGGGTATCTGCAGGGAGGGTATTCAAGCAGTAGCCAGTGGCTGAGGAGAGGGATGGATGGATGGGGGCACTGGAGAATCTGCCCTGAGGAACGTGAGCCCACCAATGCTGGCTCTCAAGTGGTCGTAAGCCCATAAGCACAGCATATCACATGGAGAAAGAAGTGCTCTCCTACAACTGTAATTTCCTCTGATAGTTGGTTCACAGCATTCAGACCTGGAGTCATGCCATGGGGAAAAAAAAAAAAAAAAAAGAAGGAGATTTTAAAGAAAACTTAAGGAAACTATACAGAAACCATGAAAACGCCAAAGACAAAGCCCTCCCCTACAGTATTGTATGTTGTTTGTGATATGAATCAATTTTTAAATTACCTTTGCAGAGTGGTTTTTTCCACAAGACTCCTGCCTCATTCAATACAAGGATGTCTTTAATTAATGTATATTTCTTCAATGTTTCTCTTCATTTTCATCATGTAAAGTGGAATCTTTCATGTCATATTCTCTCAACATTCTTCAAACCCTGCCTTGAAGGCAGGTTAATTAATTTCCATGATGACTTTCCTGTGGTAGTCTTACAACTCCTTCAAAACATTCATAAATTTAACTTTGTAACAGCCTTCTAAGTT